TGCTAAACAGAGCTTGCTACGTATGTAGCTTTGATGTTGTAATGACTGAGCATGAATTTCATGTGAAAAACAAGCTTACTTTCTATATATCACTGTTGTATAGCTTGAGAGACAGCGGCAGTGGAGGTGGCCCAATGACTGCCCTGACTCCTGCAGGAACTATGCCTGATCTGTTCCAGATGTTCTCTGCAGGGGATTCTTGGATGCTTTCTACAGTGCAGTCACAAATGTACTCAGAATCAGAGCCTTCCCACTTCCCATGGGACAAGGGGCCAGCTTTCCCAAGGAAGGTGTTTGTTAGGACTTCTTGATAACAGCTACTTGTAATTTTGATGTTATTTGCAGACAGTTTTTCCTTGTTTTATCCTAGCTAATATTTGTCCTTCTTTGTTATCTATACCCTACAGCTGCCTCCATGTGGGAATCACAATTTCATTTGGCTGTTTCAGGGGGCTGTGCATGCTGGAACAACTTCCCTGCTGACTGTGGAGTCCTTACTTCATTTGTATTTTCTCTTCATCCCCTTCCTACAGGAGTTCAAAATGCTGAACAGTTTATCAGCTTCTGTCCTCAAAATGCCTAGAACTGAATGCAGCCTTCTGGTTGGGGATGCAGTGGTGTTAAGATCCTCTCAGATTTCTCATAATATAGCTCCTTGTGGTACTATTTAGGTATAGCCAGCTTTAGTCCAAAATTTGCTGACCATATTTCATTCCAATGTAATAGCTGACTTGCTTTCCCTTTACTCGTCTGAGATTGGTGCTTACCGCATCTTCTGGTTTAGGACTTTTGAGTGAAAGGACTTTCCCCTTCATCTGTGTGTTCCTCATCCCAGCTGTCTATATACTGACATTTTCAAGACTGCTTTGGCAGGAAGCTTATAGAGCTGGGGCTTCACCACATTGCTTTTCCATGTTCTTGAAAGAATCTTTCCTTCCTGTGCACTTTTCCTGTGCTGACCACTGTCCTGACCAAGCTCTCAAGGTACCAAAAGCATTCTTCACTCCCATTGTCCCCCTGACTAAAGTCCTGCTCTTCATGGGGCAGCATAATTCATTTATTTCTGTCATATCCCTGGTCTGGTCTGCCATAGGTACAGTCTGGTGTATGTTGTGTATGTGCTGGTGATTGTTATGTTCAGCTATTTCATTTACAGCCTCAGGAATGTGAGAGGCCCTCAGAAAAATGCCAGTGTTAGAAAATTCCTGAAGGCAACGAGCCTTCATAGTGAAGGCATTTTTTTCTCCCAGCAGGAGCAGGAAGGACCAAAATTCTCACCACATTTATGCTAAACTTCAAGAAGAGAAACCACATAAAAAGTGAGAGCATTTGTTAAACGTAAGGAAAAAAGCTGCAACTGATAGAATGAAATCCTTACGTACTCCCAGCACAGAGGCTTCAGCCATCCTACTCCCTCTAGGTGGATCACAGTTGGTGTGGGAAAAGCTTAGAGCCATAAGTGCTCCCTGCCTTGGCCTGTCAGGACGAACTTTGGAGGTGCAGGTGCCCAACATTAGGGTACTAAGCTGATCCCAGCCTTAAAAGCACTGACAGCACTACAAGGACTGGGGGTAAAGTTTCAAAGTTAAGTGGTCTGGTATGAGGAAATTCCAGGGTTGAGCACATTTATAAGCATGTGATAGTATCTTTTATTTTCATTGCATGATCTTCTGTTCTTTTGTTTCAAATCTGTCTTGATTTGCATCACAGTGGTGTGGTAATGCTGAAACAGACTGTTGGCTGGCATTACCTCCCCCTCATAAGGCTTTCCCTAAATGCTCTCAAAAACACAGACTTGTTCCTTAGAGCTCCAAGCTGAGGCCCTGGATCTTACTGTCTAGGACCTGGCTCAGACAGAATGAGATTCACTGATGAGCACTCAGAGCTGCAACCATAACCAATGACAGCTGTATTTTAAACACCAAGATAAAATGTTCAGTAGTCTGAAAAATCAGGTATTGGAGACCTAAAGGTGGTGGGCACTCTTGACATTAATTTTTCTAACTCTCAAAATCCCATTTATGAAATAGAAAAATGTCCTACAAAACAGAGTGATATTGTCAGAGGACATTTGTTAGTCCATACCATATTGATCAATACCACAGGAAAATGTAACAGTGGCTTGATATTGAGTGAGGTGCTGACTTGAAAACTGTTGTAGGATGGGAATTTTGCACTAAGCATCTTCAGATCTCCTGAAGAATCCAACTTATACTGAAGGTTTAGATTTTTTTTAGTTTATTTATTTTTTATTTTTTTTTTAATTTTTAATTGAGATTCCTGAGGTGATTTAGATATTGGGTGGGGAAGGGGGAGTGTGAAAGCAAGACAAGTGCTTCTCACTTTTCCAAAGGTTCATTCTTCTTTTCTTGCAGAGATTTGGGTTTAATTAATTTTCTCACTAGAGTCAGAAACTGAAGTCAGTGAGGATGGGACTCTAAAGTTGCAAGAAGATGTTTTTCTGGCTTTCAAAGTGCTGTTGGGAAGAGATTTATAAAAAGCCCCCACAAAGTGACTCCTGGACAATTCACATTTGTATCTTATAGGATAGAGAACATTCAAAGACAAAAGATTTTCAATTGTACACTCAGTGATGAGTTGCAAGAAAAAAACTCCAAAGATGGCACAAAAGAAAACATTTCTAAGACTGAGACTTGACAGCATAACACCAGGAGGCAGTTGAACTTGACAAACTTGAAACCCCTATGAACACTTAGAAAGTTCAGCGGCAGCAAGCAGCAAGAGGAGATGAGTGTTTGCATTCACAATTGTCATTTTTTGCTACACGGTAGAAACATGCTGATGTTCAGTTGCAAAAAGAGTCCCAGAAGAGGTAACTGGCCAAAAGATTTCAGCCCTAAGGAAACCATATGCACCACTTTTGGGAGAACACACCAGTCATCACTCAGAGAAAAACAGTTTCTCAGATGTTATCAAAGTCAGTCTTTATTGTCTATTGTTTGGAGATAAATAGCTGGTTTTCTCCAATGAGAAGTGGTGAGTGACTTTCCCCAGGAAAGCATTTCAGAGTGAAAAGCTAAGTCATCTGCCTTTCTCTGGTTATATTTTTGAAGCAAGTCAGACTAAATTACTAGGATTTTTAAAACATTTTTATTAATTTTTATTCCTTTTGACATATTTTTTATAGTAAAAGAACAGAGAATAACATATTATGATGTATATAGACTGAAGTCCTTCAACAAGCTACTTTTAACACATTCGCTTTCTTGCACCATAGCCACCTCTCACTGAAAAATGGAACTTCCAGGAATTACAGGTCATTAGAAAAAACTCAGAACTTCAAACAAAACAACTGTGAGGGTGTTTTAAGACTCCTCTTCTAAGTCTCAAAATTCCTTACAAGTAAAGGAATGAATGCAATCCCTATTAATGAATAGAAATTATTTTTAAAATAACTAATAAACTGTGTTGACTCAAAGCATCCATCTTCTGATACAGCTCAACAGCCAGGCATGAGAGCTGGGGTGTGTGTGCATTCCTGTTGGAATCCTGTAGGAAGGAGAATGGAGTAGTTCTCTGATGGAAACTAGGGATATGGCAATTAGATGTGGAACTACACCAGGACCCTCCCATTGGCTCAAAAGCTTCAGTTCCTGGACTAAGGAGAATTTTGCTTTTACTCCAGTATTTTCTGACAGAGTATCTCACTATCTTTGGACTGTTTTCCCAAGGCCTGAGATGAAAATGGAGGAAAATTTTCTCTTCTCACTGTTCTCCTGCTTAAAAAACCTTAAAAAAAGGGAAAACTCAATGATAAAAGAGGCAATCAGCTTGCAGGATCCAAAACTGGATCCAATGAGTCTTTTCCCAGAGAGAAGAGGACAGACTGAGACGGTGCAGTAAGGATCATATGATACAGGATGGCATAATGTGAGGGAAAGCATGAGAGCATTGCCATAGGAACTACATTTAACTACAGAAAGAGAGGGCTAGCACATGAGCTTGAAAAAAAATGAAATCAGTCCCCTACAGTAAAAGCTAAATAAAACATAATCTACATAAAGAACACTTAGGGAAAGAAGAAAAGCATTAAAAGGTGAGAAAGGCAGGAGAGATTGGAAGTAAGTGGAAAGGACAGACTGCTTCTGTCCAGGAAAATAGCTGTGGGCTGCAATTAGCTAAATGGTACATGACTTCTGTGCTGTGAGAGTGTTGTGGTTCTGAACCACTCTGTGGTTTACTAGTGTTTCTAATGGCAGGAGTGCTGAATAATGAAAGCTGTACTCTTGACTGCCAACAGGTATTAATTTCCTTTAGTTTTTGGTGCTGAAGCTATATTTTAACCGAAAACGGCTAGCTTTTATTTCTGGAATAACAGTAGCAGATAACTATAGCACTGCCATGGATTTGTAGTGATGCTTTATGTGTGGGGATCAATCGTTTAGACAGGATTTGTTCTCCTCTTCACATCACTGCTTGCTCCCATGGACATGTTCAGCATAGGATAAGATAAGATGGGAGGAGGCAGTTCTTATGCAATGAGGCTTGTCAAGCTAAAGGCAATGATTAAAAATTTTAACTCCTCTTATGCAAACAAACCAAAAGCCTTTCCTGAAGGGCAGTAGGGAATCTTGGTGCCTTCCCCAAACATTTAAGTGGTTATGGATGCCTCACCACTCCTCAGCATTCAGGCTACCAGAGACGAGGCGACACAGATCAATACCGTTAAGTGGATTCACTCCGTGCTTGCCTGCATATACTCATCCTACCCTTCTCTTGCCTCCCCACTTGTTCTGCTGTTACCTCTCTCTGGGGGCACCATTTGTCTGCTTGTCCAGACAAGCTCCAGAGCTTGAAGTTGCCAGAGGGAGAAGAGAGAAAAGCCTTCCTGCTTACGGGGGGCAGTGTGAAGGGAGACTTGTACCATGCTAAATACAGGGAAGAGGGAGCAATTAATGCAATAGCATCTTCTGCTGGATGTGATAGGACTGCTGGCACAGTCTGGTGACAGATCATAATGATTCTCTCTTCCTAACCAGCAGCAAGCATGTCCTGGGGAACAAATGTCTCTTGTAAATATGTATGGGCATGGGGACAGTGCAAGTGTCACACAGGGCATCCCATGAAAGGAGAGGAAACACAGCATCATTTGGAGTGCTGCTTCTTTGGAATTGCAACCACAAAGGAATGAATAATAGGATTAATTCACTTAGCTATTGATCTCAGACACACACATTTTCACTTAACATTATTATAACAGCCAGACTTTCATGGCTTGTGAGCAGTACAGCAGATACAGCATTTGCAAGCCCTTATCCCCATTTGCTGATGAGGTAAATCTTAGCAGCCCATTCCTTATGGTGAACCCCTGGGGAAGGTCCTCCTATGGAAAGATTGACTAATGTCTGGACTGGTGACTTTAAAGCTGTTCTCTACAGATATACTCTCAGCAAATAACTGGTGGCCCAAATAACATGAAGACCTACCCATGGAAACTATATAGAAAGCTGTCAGGGAAGGAAGAAAACAGAATAGGCTTGATATAATTAGGTCTGCACACAATGTCTCAGCTAATCAGGGACAAAGTTCAAATACAGCCTCCCTGTATCTCCATAAATATTGAATATCTGTGACAGTGAGAGAGGAAATAATATAGTGCAGGGAGACATTAAGACATTTTTCATAGTTTCATCACATGGAACATGAGGTCTGCTCAGTGTCCCAAATAACTTCTTTGCCAAATTAATCTGCAAAGGACGTTCTCATAACTAGCTCCTACAAAACCACCCTGCCATAAGTGGGTGGATGCAAGGGCCAAAAATTAGTGTCAAAGGTGGTGAAGACCATGCTGAAATCTGTGGAGTCACCAGGTGACACCAGTAGAGATGCTGACACATTAGATGATCCCAAACTGGGCCAGCTCGTGCAGTTCCAGATGGCTGAAAGCTTCCCATGGGCAAATCACTGTGATATCTGTAAAAGAGAGAAAATTAGAAATGGATTCTGGTCCCTGCATTCCTTGTATTTATTTTTTATTAATGGAAAGGCTGATTAATTCAGGAAACATTAAGAAGAATGAGACTCCACCTGAAGGTTAAATGAGCAGTTGAGCATTTCAAATCTGGTACTACCTGTCAGACCAAACCAGATCAGTGTGTTTTCTCTCTGAGAGAAAAAGCAAGCCAGCATTTCCTACAGTCTCTTCAGTGACTATGTAAACTGGTGTAAAAATTCATTCCAGTTTTGTGATCTCTACTATTCTTATAAACTTACTATTTTGTAACCAAAATGTGATCTCCTTGAAGGTATGCAGCTTTAAATCTGATGATGAATAATTTGGTCTACGGGTTCTGTAACTCCCTTCTTATCAATACCTACAAAGCTCTGACTGGCTACAGCTCATCCAGTGCATGTTTCTCAATCCCAGATGGGTACATAAAATTCTTAAAATTAGGATTCTGATGACAACACAAATACTTAACCATCTGGGATTTAGTTCCTGTGATTTTTGGTATTAATAGCTTGGCATTTAGCATTTCTTTGAGAATCTCATGCTGCTGAAATTCTTAGCTAGAGTATTAGCAGAAAACAAACAAGCACTTTAACAGCCAAATGTGAGTACTGAGAAATTGAAGCATGTCTAAATGGCCTTTCTGTCTTGTAGTGTATGAGAGCATAAGCATGAATGTGGCAGCTTGCGGAGGTAGTACTAGCCTTCCCTGGTGACCCTGAGAGCTGCCGAGAGACCAGGGAAAAAAAGAGGTCACCCCAGAATCCTCTCTCATCATGAAGTTTGTCTGCACTTGTGTTAAAGCAGGGCACGACAACAGCATCCTGCAGAGCTTACCTGTGCCCAGTCCCTCCATGCCTGGGATGTCATCTCCAAACCTAGGAGAGAAAAGAGCAGGTAAGGAGTGAGTTCGGGCCAGCAACAAGGAAAGGGGAGCTGCCCTGAACACCCAGCCAAGGAATGAGAATGGTGGGTGGGCAGCAGAAGAAGGGAAGCAGCTCTAGGTTGAAGAGCTGATGGCACCAGGGGGCAGGAGGAAGCCTTCTGGCTCCTTGCCCGAGCAAAGATGGTATTGCAGAAGCCCAGCTTAGAGTGGGGAGCCACCCAACCAGCATGGTTTCTTCTCTTTCCAACATTCCCTTACCCTCTTACTCCTTTTTTGGGAGGCTTGCTCTTGAACTGCCTTGTCTGTCTCTGCTTGAACTTGGGAGGCCCCTTGCGTGGTGTGGTGGAACCAGCTGGAGCATCTCCAGTGTTGAGGTTGGCAGCTGGGGTCTCACTCATCGCTGGGCTGTGTGCAGCAGGCACGCACCTCTCTCAGATCCCTCTGTCTGCAAGATAACAGCAAGGACTGACACAACACTCTGCTTATCTCTTCTAGGTATCAGTAGTCAGTTGACAGAATTATGGAAAATATAATTGTGACAGGATTAAAGTTAATGATATTAAAGATAAAGAAAGATTGTAATGCATACAAATTAGGCAGGGTAGCACTGTCTTTCATCTGGCAAGCTAGAATTAAGATGTCAAATGAAGAACAGTTGAGCTAAGGCCAAAAAACACTTAACCCCACGGTGCAATGACTTGCAAAGTCATGGGGACTCACACCTTCTTTTGTCTCAAAAACAGCTGGACTCTTGGAGACAGGTTGATGCAGCAGCTTGCCCCACAGTTTTGGTAAAATAAAAAACTTAATGCTGATGTTGTTTGTTTTCTAATTAGCCTTGGAATAGCAGTGCTGATGTTTTTACTGACTGGTTCAGGACCTGACTACTAGGAACAACAAAGACACATGCATGGCTTAGAGAAATATCCTGTCCTTGGGAATGATCATGATATACTTTACCTGTTCTTATACCTGTGCCTAAGCACTATCTGATGAACACTGATGGACATGGGATGTTGAGCTAGATGGGCCCTTTATCTGGGTGGAGCTGCTGTTAGGGTTTCATGATTATCAACACCAAACTTACGGGAAATAGCACAGGATTGTTGAAAGATTATAGAGAAAGCTAAGGCTTGGAGATAGTCTTTTATGCAGAAGTTAATTATGCAGGATTTAGCAGAGTATTTAGAAGAGTAACTTTCCCCAGGATGTGGCCATTTTGGTATTTTTGAAAATTATGTTACATATGCTGACCTCTCTTCACAACACTGTACATGAGCCAAGCTCCACTTCACAGGGGCTAAACAGTTCTTAGGGAGCAATTTTTGTTTGGGAGACACCTCTCCTGCCTTAGAGGGCTGAACTGCTGTACTCTGAACTTTTTGCTTCCTTCCCTGAGAAGACAGCAATAAGTCTCAGAAGTGTCCAAAGGGGAGCTTCCAGCCCTTCATTAAATTTTGTCTAATTAGTATGGTAGAATGGTCTGAGCAAGTGTATTTATGGATAAAAATAAATGCAATTTTTTTCTCCCTTCCTTGAAGTCACGTTCTTCCTCATGACTGCTACGTATGTCCTATCTCCAGGTGTTCGTCCCTGTGCATCCAGGCTGATGGAATTAACTTCAGGATTTGGTAGTGAAGACTAATCTCATTATATCACCATAGTACTTTGGCTTAATCCCCAACATCACCTGCCGTGACACTCGGGACTTTTAATCTCAGAACTATAAATGCCATCAAAGATTTTCTTTTCCTTAATCTAAAGAGGGTTCATGTATTTGACTGTCCAGAAATAGCCAGAGTGCTGGAAAGCAAAGCCTGAGACAGAAGGAGAAAGATCATCTGAGCAATCTTCCTGTGTCACTTGCACATCAATGCAAGGTGAAGAGCCATATTTCTGTATTTGTGGCAGTCTAGGAATACTTCACTCAGGACATCTTTCCATCTGTGGTTGCAGAAGGATGGTTCCAAATGATAGTTCTTCTGTCGCTTGTGGTCAGGCTTCTGTCTCAGCTGTAATATCCCAAGCAAGAGACTGGACAGGTTCCAGCAGCCCCAAATGGAGCAGCAGATGGTTGTGTCTGCAGCTGAAGTATGCACAGATGCTATTCCTCCACAAGTAACACAACGCTTCCTAAGCACACACTGTGCCCACAAACACAGGGATCAGCTCAAACCGTAGAAGTTCTTTGCCTGCCATCTCTGAAGCACCTGAAGAGTCTCCCAATATTTACAGCTTTATCTCCACAGCAGGGTGTTAAGACAGGTGAACAATGTCACCTTCATCTGTTACAGAATGAGATTTGGGTGCAGTGATAGGTATCACCTGGACTGCACTGCTGGATTTCATCCTTGCCGGTGATGAAATCTTTTGACTCATGGTTTTTTAGGCCCAAACTGAGAGGTGAAGGCACTTTGGCTCAAAAACAAAGACAGAATTTGGTGCCTCACTGTTACTCAGGATGGGAGAAATTCAGATGGTACTGCCCTACAACAAAATGCTTTGCATCAAAAAACTGCTTCATTTTTAGCACGTCTGCTAATGCCCGAAGTATATTATTATGCTGCTGTCTCAGGTGCAATTCTCATTGGTAGGTTGTCTCTCTGCATTAGATACCCTTCCTGAACTACAAGGCACATGCATCCACTTTTAAGCACCATGTCAATCTGACATCAAAGATATCTAGCACCCCTCTCAAGGGTTACTCCCAAAAGTACAACAGAAAAAACAAACCAGCTAACAGATTTCCATCCCTTAGGACTGACATCCAAAATTTGTAAGATGCATTTGAGCTCCATCTCCAACTGAATTCTTGCCCTGCTTCACCAAACCCTGCTGTCTGCCAGCATGATACCTTAACCACAAAAATGTCTTTGAGGGTCCACACCTTGTCCCTGACCTCTACTCAACAGACGAATAGCCAAGGGGAAGATTCAGTACTTGGAGTTTCCTTTTCCCCCAATCCAAACTAGTTGTATCCATCTACCAGCTACTCAATAACTCAGGATTTGATAGGAAAAATTATCTGCCCAAATCACACTTGATCCTCTCTCACCTGCATGAATTCAAAAAAGAGCACTCAATGAAACTTTTAGTAAGGGACAATTCTAACTTTTCCCTTACTAACTTCCCTCTACCCATTCTCTCCATGCATCACTAAAAGATTTGACCGAGGATGGAAAGCAACCTTAATGCCACAGAACAACCATATTTTGCAGTAGGAATCAAGCTGCTCTCTCACCACTGAGCTAGTGGGACTCGCCATTGTGCACAGTCAAAGATTTCTCCATTCATGCTGGGATGGGCCCTGACCCACTGCATGGAATCTACCCCAGTTCCCACATCTTGGAAACCAACTGCCCCTACACACAGCCAGACCAGCACCCCAGGATCACAGATTTGAAAGAAATGCCAATAGCAGCTTCTTCACAGCCTTTTGTCTTACCGTACCTGGTTACTTGAATAGTCCTTGGTATCAGATCAAATGTTTTGAGTCTCCTCTAGATCTCTGCAAGTGCTATGATGATTCCTCCCAGTGCTTCCTGGGCTGCCAGATCTCTTTTGCTTCTGCCAGCCCTGGGGTGCAGCTCCTGGACAAGAGCTGATGGCTGTTGATGCAAAGGCTGTTGAGGCATAAGATCCTCTGCCATACACTTCCTCTGCCCCCTCCTCTGACAAGGTGTTACTTAATTGCCCCTGACAGCATTTCTGCTCAGACCAGGGTTTAATCCTCTAGGTAAGAGCTTTGCTTGCATGGGAATGCTAATTATACCTAATATACATTAATGGGCTTATCTCAGTTGCGTCAGAAATCCCACCTCTAGGTTGTTGTCCAGGTTAATCATCCTTATTTTAATTTTCTTTGAATTTAAAGGGGCTTGAATACTACTGACAGATGCTGACTCTTTAATCTGCCCTGTTCTTAATCTCTGATTCTCTGTGGAAAATGTCCCTGGCAGATAATGTAGGTGTCACACTTGATCTTCTTCAGACAGTTTTGGTGCAGGAACTCATCTTCCCCTGTCCAAAACATTCAAAAATACAGACTTCTCCATGTGTGCTTGTCTTATGCTGTCTCAGGGGTGTCAGACACAGAACCTCCCTGAGCCATGGCACTCCATTCAGGGATAAAAGGGAAGTAGACAGCAACCAGGAGGAAATACCCTTGTTTGCACATTCTTTTTGATGGGCTTCTTGCATGCTCAGCTCCCGACCCCATAAGAGCCACTAGCATCATCCTTGCAGACAGGCTTTCAACAGGAAGTATTGTATCCAGTGTAAGATGCCTTTGAGGAGTCTCACAGCTCCAGTCTCAGTTGCTTGAACTGGCTAATCATAGTGATGGAAAAAGCCCACACAGGTCCAGCCCTTTCTGCTCCTGTGTTTTACACAGGATCTCAAACCCTTCATTCTAGCAGCTGTTTTAAGACCAAGAACAGGTGAAAGAGAACACACTCTGAAAGACAGAAACTCATTTAAAGTAGAACTATATTCCCAAATGGAAATAATTCGAAAGACTATCCTAGTTGAAAGAAGGGATTCAGTAAAATCAAAGGTACAGCATCACAGGTTACAAACTCTCCACTGATGTTTCCTGCATGTACAACTGGGCAGCACAGCAGGAAACACCAGCTGCCTGTCCCAGCTACTCCTCAGGAGCCCCCGGTGCTGCTCACATGTAGGCTCAGCAAGTTGCAGACACAAGCCAAGGGGGTTCAGGGAACCCTGACCAAGGGGTGCCCAGCATGGGAAAACGAGCAGCCTTGCAGAGAGCAGAGCTGCTTGTACAGCCAGGAAACTTTGAGCTCCAGCACCTGCCCTAATGTTAGAGGAAACAGAAAACAAACACAGAAGAGCCACAACTTCCTCTCCTAGCTACTGGACCTGTTCGCACTCTCCAAGTTCAAACATCCAGATTTTCTTCCCCATAGGGTTTTATATGGACTTTTCTCTCCCCTCGGTTCTGTAGCCAGTTCCTTTTTCATCCCCCTGCCCCCCTTATTGATTTGAGCTCCCGGAGAACACTTACATTACCAAAGGCTCCTCTTCCAAATCATTCAACTCCCGTCCTGCAGCCTGTGTAGAAAGGGTCTCGAGGTGTCCTTCCTCCTCCAGATATACCCTGCCACCAGGTGACATCAGGACATCAGTCGTGGGCGGATGCTTACGCAGTGCAAGGAGGTGGGGTGAGCACTGGAAGACCAGCACTGTGCAGGTACAGCTCTGGCAAGGTCTAGGGGAGCAACAGAGCCTTGGTACACTCTTGAGGGGTGATGTGCCACTTTCTGCAAGAAAAGCGGTTTATCTGGAGCTCCTGGGGTGAGATCTCTGGAGAAGCAAAGAGAAATAAAGAAATAACCTGCCCTTTGAGCAATGCTGCTGCTTGGGAAAACACGCACACACACTCGTGTCTGCACATGTCAGAGTAGGAAGGATTTGGTCCTAATCACCCCCTATCCCTCCCCTGTGCTGGTGAATGCCTGGAGAGGTTTCCAGTAAACTTCTCAGCAATGCTGCAAAGGTGAAGACACACCTTACAGAGCAAAGTATGCAATCAACCCAATGTCAACAGCGCTGAGTCTGCTCAAGGGAGTCATAGGGAATGCTGCTGAGATGCTATGCAGGGCCTTGGTGAAGGAGCTGGAAAGGCAGAGGAAGAAGGGGGAACCTTTGTGTTGCTCGTGGGTGGCCAGCCAAGGGGGTGGCCTGTCACGTCTGAGACCCAAGATGCTGGGCTGAGGGTAACAGCTAGGTTGCATCTGGGTACCAGTTACATTGCTACTGTGAGGATGTCGCTGAGAAAGGGAAAAGCTGGTGCCTCAGCCCATACTCCAACCCAACAAAACTCCGTGCATGGTAATGCACACTATTTTATTGAGTGCTTTGCATCTCCAATGTATTTTAATAGCCTTTTGTAACTGCCTGGGAGATCAGTGTCAGAGACATAGAAAGAGTCACTGGAGAAAGAGTCAGAATGAAAAGAGAAGATCCAGAGTCCAGCAAAAAGGTGCTAGAAGATCATTCTCAGCTGTAGCAGCATCTCAGTCATGGACTGTAACCATCTGGCTTGAGGCATAGCAAGAGGGTTAACAGTCCTGTGGGGCCCTTGGTTCTGGCAAAGCACCTCTCACTTACCCTCGTTGACCATCCAGCTCACAACATGAGATCAGGGCTGGCAGGGTTGAAAATGGTCCCAGAAAAGGGAGTAGCACTAGTAGCACCAGAGCCACACAGGGCAGAAGGAAACCAAAGTGTGGGTTTGTGTATGATGGATGAGATTTGTCTTTGGGTGAGGCTGGAGGAGGGAATTTTGGAGCAGCCATGCCAGGCAGGGGTGTGACTCTGTGTGACCAAGAAGGGACAGGCTCTCTCTGACATGACAGACCCTGGCAGTGGGCAGCAGTCCAGCACTGTGCTGGTGCTGAGCTGAGACCTGTGGCCTTTCAGATGGTTGAAGTTAGACAAGATAAATCCTTCAGTGAGACTCTTAGCTTACATTAAAAAAATCGATAAGGTCCTAGCCCTTGAGTGGGAACTGAGAAGCTGGGAAGTAAATCCTAGATGCAGTCGAGAGCTTTCAATCTAGCATAGAAGGAGCAAACACACATTCCCACGTGTTTGAAGATGATTACAGAGCTTTCAGAAGCCTGTGCAGTAATTTCTGGGCACAGGAAAGAGGACGGGGGCAGCATCGTGTTGGCATCCTCTCTTCCCTGTGATGACTACAGCTTGTATACAAATGCTTGGGGATTGATTGCACTCAGCCTCTTCTGACAGCAGAAGTGATTACTGTGGGCAGGGACCTGCTTGTGTGGATATAAAGAGGTGCAGCCTGCTGGCAGCAGACTGCACTCCCATCCTGGCTGCTCATTCCCATGCCTCCATCTGCTGCAGCCAGGTTTCTGGGTCGTCCTCCTCCCCTTCTGCCTTCTATGTAGGTAATGTTGCTGGGGAAATCATCTCTACAGCCCTCTACTCCTCTTTTCTGAACCTTAAAAATTTACACATGTTCAGGCTGTTTGTTTTCAAAACACTCCTTTTGTTCTCCTGTTTTCCCAATGAAATCTGTCTCATTTCTCTTTAACAAAAGTGGATGTGTGGGAAAAAAATCTCCATGGTGTCATATGAAGCTGTTTTTTTGCCACTGACAAAACATGACAGAAACTCCCTAAAGGGCCCCACTTACCACGTTCTTATTATCAGGCCTCTCTCCATACATCCTCTCTCTCCTTTCCCCTCAAAAAGTAGGTGGCATTTGCTTTGCAAATGTGGGTGCCCGGCTTCTTTTCAGAGCAACAGGCACCTGCTTCATGCTCACACCTGGCTTCCACACCAGATGGATGACAAATCCTACTCAGGGACTGAGTACCTGATCCCTGTCCCTCCCTACTGAGGCTTTTCCTCCCTTGGCCCGGGAAAGCCAGTGCTGTCCTTTTTGGACGTGACAGCTGCCATCTGATCCAGACCAGAGCTGCACCAGAAGCCAGGGAGTCCAAGGGGTAGCAGGATTGCAGTCCTTGTGGTCTCAAAGAAAAACTCATGAGCTTTGTCACCTCTGGCCAGATTATTCCCTATTCCAAGGAATCACTTAAAAAAACATCTCCAAGGTTTCTGACGCTATTTATGAGCTGGTGTAGCCATGGAAACTGTAGTTATACCAGAAATAGCAGCTCACTTGAATGACAAAGAAAACACAAGTTTACAAGACAGTGATTTTTCCAGAGGCTGGCTGAGCTCATGGGACTGTGGGAGGAAATCCCAGCTGAGGCACAGACTCAGGGATGCAGTTGATGAGGGCTGTGGCTGGCGTGGGCCACAATAACTCTTTTGAAATGTATCTCTACAAGCTTGTGCCAGATACTTGGGAGACTTTGTGCCTTATTGATAAAGCTTTATCACTTGCCACACAGATACACCTGACTGGAAATGAGCAGAGAATTAACCAGGCATCTGCAATTAAACCTTGATTTCTCTCCTGCAGACAGAAGCATACCAACTGCCTCCGGATCTCTGGTGAAAGGGACCACTGTAGGACCTGGATTTAGAGTCAGATTGTCTATTGGTCTTGTAGAAGATCAGAGGTTGTCATATCAACAGCATTTCTGTGAGAAAGTCGGTGCAGTAAGGTACCTGCAGAAGAAGACTTGCATACTGTAATCCTCCTCCCCCAATGCCGATCATGTTTCTAAGCTGTATGCTGTTCGTGCTAGTGAAAAAAAGAGAAACAGATACAGAGGATTGGGCTTTGCCTGGCACAGATATTTAGTTGTTGGAATACATGCAAATCAGCCCATCAAAGATGCAGAGAAGGCATCCTCATTGAGAGTTTTATTGTTTCTCCTTCAGGAAATCATACACAGCTATTTTAGTGTCAGGATTAAGTATCTGTAACAGCCTGCAATAAACTGGGTGTGCTGACTTTGGGAGTCTGTGCCTGCTGCTGGATAAAAAGTTACGTTCAGTGTCCTGGAGCTCAGCTTGCAGAAGAGCCTGGTCTCAATATTCATTTCTACTCATGCCCTGGAGGCTCCTCTGGCATTGGGGCAGAGATTAAAGAGGCTGAGGTCTGGTTTTCCACTGCCAAGGCTCTAGATAGAGATTTCCATGATCAACCTGGAGAAGAGGGTCCTTTGAGGAAATATAAATCAAGCCATAAGGTTTTGCTGAACTATCAGCAACGGCCCTGTCTGTGCTAGAAACTAGGTAGCAGTGGGGATGACTAAGTCCTCAAGCCAAATGGCCAT